CTGCCATGAGATTTTTCTTCTGAACTCATCTTTTTCCTTCTTCAATAATGTGGGGGCAGTTTCAGGTTTTGAGTATTCTCTAGTTAATAATTAACCACTCTTCAAAGAAAGAGAATGGCTACTCTCTGAATCTGCTATTGCAAAGCTTGAAGCTACAGCCTTCCAGGGCTTCAGAGTCTATGAAGACAGCTGTGCATGGAAAAGTCCAAAAACTTGGGAGTGGCTTTTAAAGATGTTTTACTTCCCACAGTCCTCCTCATATGCCTAGTATCCTAATCAGGCTTTAAAAAAAGAATATTTGATTTGGCATTTTCTTAAATTCATTATTGACAAATTACCAAAGATCATTGAAAAACGCAATTCTACAAAGAAATCCAGAAAAAAAAGGTGGTCCACTTTTATAAATATTTAAGCTCTTAAACATCTGATGAAGACAGCCTTGGCTTCAGGAGAGCAGGGGAAATCAAGTGAGGCAAACCAAACTGTTACTTCTCATTTATCTGAAACAGCTCTGATGTGGAGCTTTAAAGTAGGAAGGCAAGACAAGAAAGAAAATGAAAGAACAAAATACTGCAGGCAGCGCAGTAAGTAGAAAGGAGAGGAAGGAGTGTTGTCATGGTAACAAGATAAAACCCAGGCTCCTCCCCAAGAGAAAGATAAAAGCTGTTTTTGTACACAGGTCTCTTCTAGCTTTGCTCTGGGTTTCGACTAATCATTTTCATGCCTGGGTGCACTTGTGTGTGCATATACATATATTATGCACATTCATTATTTTGGTCGAAAAGCCAGTTTAACCCTCTGAAATTCCAGCCCTTCTCCAATAATGCCATGATGTGTTTCAGTATTAGAGAAAAATGGATGGAGATGAATATTATTAAAACGCTAAATTTAATCTAAACCTAGAGGAATGTTGAATCTTCTGCCTTCACCATCTCAGTAGCATTAGGAAATAAAGCACTATTGCACAATTTCTCTTCATACAACCTAATGAATGTGATAATTTTAGAATACTAACAAAAGGGGGGACCAAGATCAAAAATGCACAGACCTGAAATCCCAGAACTCAGGGGACTGAGACTGGAGGATGTTCAGTTCCAGGTCAGCCTAAAATACATGACAAGAGACCATCCCAGAAAACAAAGAAATAAAACCACAGAATATGCATGTGCACATATACAAGAGTATTTGTGTATATATGAATTCTAGGTATTTGCTTATTACACAGCATGGAAATATTAGCACCTCACTTGAAATTAAAAAAGAAAAAGATGAAAGAGAGGAAATAATTTCTTTTTAATGTATGATTGCTTTCAATGATATATCATCAAAATTACTTTAACAACTATATGCTTGTTGATAGATGATCACCAACAAATATTTATCCACATCCTAGTGCCCAGAATCAATGAACATCACCTATTTGGGAAAGGAATAATTACAGATAGAATTATGGATCTTAAAGCAACCACTCTGGATTACCTAGGGGGTGGAAGTCAGTTCTTTAGAGCGGCCACAAAATAAGGTGATGTGAACACAAAGGTAGACAGATACCAGAGTGACAGGGCCACAAGTCAAGTAACGCCTGTATCTTCCAGGTGTGTGAAAAGGTAAAAAACTATGTTGTCACTATGACAACTGATATGACAATTTAATAGTCCAAAGCAGTGGCAGACTTATGCTTCTACGATTCTGAGAGAATAGATTTGTTATTACCACAGTGGGCAGCCCACGACCACCTGTCACTCCGGTTCCAAGGGAATCGGATGCCCCTGGCCTCCAGAGCTCCTGCATCCATATGCACACGGCCACATACAGACACACATTTACATGCCACTAAAAAATAAATCTTAAAAAGAGAGAAAGAGGAAGCAAGAAATGAAAATCATCAACAGTAAGATGTGAGATATTTCCATGCTATAGCTGACAATATAGGACAAGAAGTGAACGGAACGATGTGAATAGCAGCTAGAATTCAATTAGCATTCTGGGACTATGAGTGCACTAGAGATCCATGGGAATTCGACTGTCAGGGGAAATTTTATAGAAGAGATAGAATTCAAATTTGGGCTCCTAAATGTGATGAGGATTGGACAGACTCATGTAGGCACAGTCCTGGTAGACAAAAAAAATTAAGAAAATATGCCACTGAAAACCTCTCAGAAATACATATATATCTCCACTAGTTCATTTGGGGGATGTGGCAATTCTGATGAAGTTTTACAGGAGAGTGTGATTATTTCCAGCTATTGAGGGACAAAGTGTCTTGATGCAGGTTGAGAGAGAAAGAGAGAGAGAGAGAGAGAGAGAGAGAGAGAGAGAGAGAGAGAATGTGTGTAAGAAAGACTGTAACAGTCAAAGGATGTACATGGAAAGAGACATGTAGGTTATAAAAGGCACTCACAAGTTTCAACCAAGAGATTCCACTTCAAGAAAGTAACCAAAAACTAGAAACAGAAGATGGATGACAGTCAAGCGCCACTCTCTATGCTATGAATATATAGAAATCCAGGAAAATGGAGAGCAGCAGGTATGTCCTGAGTCAGAAAGCTTTTTTTTTAGTTACCACTATGACCAAGCTCCAGCGATATTTTGCATAATTAGGAAGTTTTTGATGTACTGATAGTTTCTAAATGACAGCAGCTACAAAGATAAACACGATATTAAATTCAATTTAACATCATTAAAACACTACAGAGGAGTCTCATCCAAATGCATACGTAACTTAAATCCAATTATATGCCATGGACCAATCATTCACTGCTTAAAAATAGGACTCATTAGCTGGCCCTGGTGGTACACACCTCCAGTTCTAAAACTTGACAGGAAGGAAGCAGGAGGAGTTCAAGGCTAGCCTGGTTTATATACTGAGTACCAGGCCAACAAGACCTATATATTGAGGACTGACTTCAAGAAAATGATATATGTATCTACACACACACACACACACACACACACACACACACACACACACCATATATATGGCATATATGACTTTTAAATGTAACCCAGAGATTTCACCTGGGACTAAATAAGGACCAGCAACCATAAGATAGAAAAAATCAGATGAATATTATATAGAGAGATTTGGATATTCAATTTCCATGTAATTTTAACAGATTATTCAAGGTAGTTCTGCTTGTATTTGGGACTCACTTATGCAGTCTTACAACTCAACCCTAAACATCTAGGCATCATACCATGCCTGTAAGCCCAGAACTGAAGAGCCTCACAGGAGGATTGCTATGAGTGTGAGGATGCCCAGAGTTACACAGCAAGTTCCTGTCCAGTCAGGCCTATGGAATAATAAAACCCTATCTCAAAACAAATACTTCTTCACATCATTCAAGACCAGTTTTTTTTGCTGTAAAATGCGAAAATCAAGACCAGTGATAGTTAATATTATATAAAAACTTAGTTGGATCGCAGTGTCAGATGGTTGGTTAAACAGTTTTCTAGATGTTTCTGTTTGGTTGGTTGGAGACAAACTATGTAATCTCACTATGAAATCACTGTTGGCCTGAAACTTGACATGTAGACCAGCCTGGCCTTGAACTCAGAGATCTGATTACCTTAACCTCCTGAATAGAGGATTAAAGATGTGGATACCACAACTAGCCTCTTTTTTTCCCCAATAGGACAAATATTTAAATCACTGGACTTGAAATAAACCACTTCCATAAAGTGAAGAGGCTTTAATAAATTGTTAAAGCCCTAAATAAATCAAAGACTGGGCTGGAGAGATGGCTCGGAGGTTAAGAGCACTGGCTGCTCTTCCAGAGGTCCTGAGTTCAATTCCCAGCTGGTGACTCACAAAACATCTATAATGAGTTCTGGTGCCCTCTGCTGGTGTGTAGGCAGAACACTGTATACATAGTAAATAAATAAATCTTTAAAAAAATAAAACAAAGACTAAGTGTCATCATAGACATACATAGAAAGATGGATTTTTCAACTGAGAAATTTTCTCCATCAGATTGGCCTCTTAGTGGGGGAATTACTTAATGTTTGGTTTGGGAGGAGCCATCACTGGACAAATGAGACCTGGGTTACAAGCAAAGCAAGAGAGGCCTGTTTCTCAGTGGTCTCTGCTTCAGTTCCCACTTCTAGATTCCTACCTTTAAATTTGTGCCTTGATTTTCTTGATTTTGAACTATAATAAATAAAGCCTGTCCTCCTCAGGCTGTTTTTTCGGTCACGGTGTTTATCATAAAAACAGAAGCAAACCAGGACACTGACATTGATTTTCATAGTGAATGGAAGAATTGCTTTTTCTTCTTTTTGGACAGAATCTCCTTGGGCTAGAACTCATAATCTTCCTGGTTCAGCTCATAATCTCTGAGTATACTCATAATCTTCTGAGTATAGGGATTACAGACTTGTACCACCATGTGTGGTACAAGAATTCTGCCAACAGTGTTTGGAGACTCAAACTACAGTTTTTTCTAACTCTGTAGTCTGCTGACCCAGTCCATTGGGTTTTGGACTTGTAATCCCTCTATAATCACAGAAGTCAATTTCTTTAAAATTTATATCTATATATAACATCCATATATATGTGTGTGTGCATGCTTCTATCCTTTTTCTACACACACACACACACACACACACACACACACACACACACAGAGCAAAAGTATTAGCCAGGGTGTTCGAGGGAAACAGTTAACAGGGAAGTAGAGTCAGCAGGATGCTTCCTCCGAAAATCCTCATATACTCTGTTCAACATGGCTACTGAAGAAATTAAGTGAAAAAAAGCACACATTTTCACCATATCTGAAAACTGAGAGAGTGCTAAATAAATTATCATTGTTCTTCACCAAAGAATACAGGGACAATACAAAGCTGTTTCTTCGAGGCCACACAGAAATCCACACCCAGACATTCAATTAATTCTGGAAAAAGCTACCTTCTTTTATCCCTTCTCATTTTCCATACATGTCATTTGAAAATGGGGCTTCAATTCTGCAAAGCTTAAGAGATATTCAACTCCCAAAACTCACCTGTTTGAATGCCTGCATTGAACCCCTTTCTGAATTAAGTTGGACCTCCAAGCTGTTCATGAGGTGATCCATATCTAGAAAAGATACAAGGGGAAAATAGCTTTCAGAACAATGTTGACCCCATTATATGCATAGAGTGTGACATGTACACTTGGTTTCACCCATCCGTCCTCTATAAACAGTTTTGCAGACTAAACTTATGCTAAAAAGTTATTAGAACATTCTAAGTTAATCTACTCAAGGAAAAAAGCATCATTTGTCCCTGACACTGGCTGCCTACATACTATAAGTACTTCCCTTCCTTCATGTAAGTGAATCCATTTCTACAAACCTCTCCAACTTGTCCTGTTTCGGTGATTTTCAGCATACTCTTCTATAGTTCCAAAATATTTCCGATCCTGGTCCTGTCCTTGTTTTCACTAAGGACTTTTAACTACTATACGGGTATTTACCTGAGTCATATATGTACAAACACAAACCAACAAACCATTTTTGTCTATGCATCTTAAATCTGTAAGCCAAGCATAGCTAAAAGCAGTTTTCATCTTCCTCTATACTATGCATAGCTGTCCCTCTTATGAAGAGATGGTGTTAATGGCTTCATTTCAATACCTTGAACCATCAGTCATCCCATAAAAAGCACCTACGTTTTCCTCTGGAACAGCTTTTGTGTGCTTTATCTACAGTTCACTTTCACCAGAGAGGAAAACAGAGGCCAAGGAAACAAAGCAAAATCTACAGCTTACCTACAAATTAGCCAGTCAATTTCAGATCATACTTGTGCCTCTTCCACCCTGTCGTGTCTTAATCCATAGGAACCAAAGGAGACCAGACAACAGATGACTTGCAATTAGTCCTAGCTAGAAATAACGACTAGCCAAGGATGCTATAAATGCAAAGGGAAAAAAAAAAACAAATTCTGCGTCCAGGCTTTCCTGGCAGCAGTCAATCAAGTGCTTCTAGCTACGAGTGCCCCCTTTGGGTTACAAGAGCATTACCTGACATAACCCTTCTACCACCACACCTCTTTCTCAAGTTAGGAACTAGAAACCACTTAGCTATTCCTCCCAGCACCTCTCCCTTCAAGTTACTGTTATCACTCGTGTGTGTTTCATATGCAGCCTCTGCAGCTTTAGTTCATGCTTTCCTACATTTCCCAACTTTTGCTTTTACTAAAAAGCCCTCCCCTCTCTCCATTCTTTACTCCCTTTTTCTTTCTCTGCGAGTGAGGCAGGGTTTTACACTGTAGCCTAAGATGGCCTGGAACTCACTGTGCAGCTCAGCCTGGTTTCAAACACAAGCAAATGCTCCTGCCTTACCCTGGTGAAAGCTGGGATTACAAGCCTAAAATACCAGAAATTTGTTGAGCATCTATTATAGTTTCAGACAATGTCCTTGGTCCTTAGACTACATCCAGGGGTGTGTGGCAAGAACTTCAATTCTGTTAGAAGTCAAAGTTTTCTGAGCTCTGGTCCTAATTGTTCTTATTCCTTAGTATACACTTCCCCCACTGATCTAACCCTGGGAGGCTCTTTTGAAGCATTAGGGCTCTGCAAACGATAATGTGAAATCCTGTAGTTCTAGATGGACAAATCACATTTTACAGAGAAAAACACCTTTTTCAAGTCAGAAAATGCGATTCATAGGCTCAGATCAATATCTCTGCTGCATTTTCTTTGTGCCCATATGCTTGACTCACCTAGAGTCCAAATTGGTAGTATTATGCCTAGTATAGCCTCTGAATTTTCAAATGCAATTGGAGACAACAGTTGCAACTGTCAAAATTGTCTAAATTTTGATAGTGGCTCAGAAGTCTTCTTTTATATTTCCCAAGGAGGTTCCCTGCATATTATTACTGCTTTTCAACTAGAAATGATTTCCTAATTTCCTGATATTCAATAGATGAAATAATTGATTTTAAGTTCAATGTTTACTTTTTATGCTGTTATATCTTGGCTCCAAATATGCAAACTGCCCTCTCCCTACTGCATTTGCCTTCTTTTTCTTTCTTTTCATTGAGACAGGGGAGGGGGGGTCCTCACTATGTTGTAGTCCACGCTAGCCTGGAACTCAGAACAATTCCCTCCCCCACCTTGGTTTCTGAAGTGCTTGGATTATAAACACCACCAGCTCAAAATTTTGTAATAATAACAAATTTTGCCTCAACAACAAATTGGGCAAGAATTCTGAGTTCCTTATGATAATAACAGTACTAGCACATAGATTATTGTAGGTTTTCTTAAGTAAATAAATGTACAAGTGAGCTAAGCAGTGATGGTGCACACCTTTAATTCTGGTACTCAGGAAGCCAGGGGCAGATGGATCTCTGAGTTTGAGACTAGCCTGGTCTACAGAGTGAGTCCCAGGATAGCCAACAGGTTACACAAAAAAAAAGGAAGGAAGGAAAAAGCATTGTTTTAGATATTTGAGATTCCACTTTTTTAAAGTATCACCTATATTTTTACTACTAGAAAAATAATTAAAGGACTGTGTAGCACACATATATTTTGAACATCGCTTTATTATATATCTTGTAAGAAAATAGAGAGTCATGGCAGGGTTGGAAACGCATTGCTTCTGAGTATCCACTGTGGTGGTTGGACTAGGCACCTCAGATGATGAGTTTTAAGCCCTATTTTCTCTTATATAACAATAAAAGTGACACCACTGTTAATGCCATACACACACGAGGAAATACAGGAGCAAAGCGATTAAGCAATGCTAAAGGCATGTAAGATGGAAATGATTGAGCTGAGATTTGAAACCAGCTCAATACAAAAGTAAAAATACTTGAATGTTTTCTTGTAGAGATGACATGGCTATTACATTCCTGAACTCTCAGCAGCTGTGGTTACCCACACAAGACCTACAAAAGTTCAGCTTGAATGGAGAAGCCCACAAGGCTCGGCCTCTAAGATGCTATTGTTGCTGAGTCAGAGAAACATTCTTTGGGGGTGTGGCCATTAGTAGGTAGCATACTCTCCCTCCAGTAGATGGCTCCACATCCATGCACATATCAGGAGCACTGAGTAGACTCAGTGGATTAGTTTAAAAAAAAAAAAGGAGAAGAAAATGAAGTTGAGATGGCATTTGGAGGAAGGTTGGAAAGAGGGAAACGAGAGGTGGATATGTTCATATTTCATTATATATGTGTATAAAATTCTCAAAGAACAAAATTTTTTAAATGAAAAAAAATATGACAACCGTGGACTCTGGAATAGTTTCGTAAAGTTGAAAACAATAATGGAGGTACATTTATCCCGTCACAATAAGGTCTATTATTGACAAAGAGAGTAAAGGTACCCACTAATTGTGGCACTAATCATAAGACAAAATGTGCAGCAATCACAACTGGCACACCGCACTTAAATATCAATTGAGAAAAAGAATAAAAGGCCACAGTAGCAAAGACTCACTGCTCTGAAATATATAAAATCTTACCTTATTCTATCATCTAATTACTTAAGAGAAAATGGAATCTAGATTTTAAATGAAATCCAACTTCAAAATGTTGGCAATCAGCCAATTTTTAAGAGTATGAAATTAGGCAAAGTGCCTTCATGTCCCCCCATTCATGTGTGAAAGCCCTCACTCCTGAGCTATTAGAGATATGGCCTTTATGGAAATAATTAAAAGTAAATGAGGTCATACAGGTAGTGCTCTAATCACAGAAGATTAATCCCTTAAGAAGAAACACAGGAGAGTTCTGTCTCTTCACTTAAACAAAGACGGTTGAGTACACAGCAAAGAATGCAGCCATCTGGGAGTTAGGAAAGCAGCCCGCACAACACATCAGCCTATGCTGAAACCTTGATCTCTCAATTCTAGTCTTTAGGACTAGAAAAACAAAATTTCTGTTGTTTAAAGCACCCAGTTAGTGGTATTTTGTTATAACAGCACTATATATACTACTTACTGAGTTTTCCTTCTTATTAAAGAACCACTACAGACATCTGGAAATATCCTAAATGCTGATCAATATAAGAGTGGTTAAATAAATCATGGCTTATCCATAGAGTAAAAAACTCTACAGCCACACAGAACAACGAGGCATTTTTATAAACCTATATGGGTCTTGAACCATATGAAATGTTACCTATTTAAAATACATCTGTTAAGAAAAAATAAATAACCTGTTAAATGAGAGTTTAAAACAATTTTAGAGAAAACGAAACATTTGTATGAGCTGTAATTGGATATATTTAAGCCTTTGGTCTAAATTAAGGTTGTGGCAGTTTTTAGGATAACAGAAAAGATGTTAGGAAACAAAGACAGGCAACAAAACAGTTAGCCAACTAGGTAGATAAGGAAACTAAGAAAGAAGAAAAAGCTTCTATTTTGTGCAAAAGACATGAGAAGCACAACAACTACATTTTCTCACTGTTTATGCTTTCATAAATTCTTAAAGCATTTTGACAAAATGAATTTTCACAAGCATTTCACTGTGAGCAGTGTGTTCCTCACTGCCATTCAACCACAAGTATTCCAATTCACAGGAGAACATTCAAATGCATAGTTTAAATAACTTCACCAAGGTTATGTTAATGGCAAGTTGTAGAACAGGGAAAGGGAAAGGGAAAGTCCTGAATGAGCAACAGGTAACTCTAGAGGTGAAAATAGGCCCTATTTTAGAAGGTAGTGGTTACAACAAAATACCAAAATTTCAGGGGTTTGAAATAAGTTGCTTTTGGGAGGAGGGCGCTGGTTTTTCAAGACAGGATTTCTCTGTGTAGCCCTGACTGTCCTGGACCTCACTCTGTAGACCACGCTGGCCTCAAACTATGAGATCGGCCTGCCTCCCGAGAGCAGGGATTAAAGGAGTGCGCAACCGCGACCATCTAGCAGATTTGAAGTATCTTAACATATCTAGTGTTACATTACTGAACCTTCAAACTCTCACAGACTAGGGACACAGTTTAGTGGCAGAAGAACACTTACATATGCACGATCCTTAAATTCAATTCCCAGCACCAGAAACAAACAAAAACCAAAATCTATGTTACGCTTAAAAGAACCTAAATATACAGATAACATCTCTTAACGTATTATATAAACCATCTAGTATGTTCTGGACATTTATAAGTACCTTCCTGCTCAATAATTTATATTTCTCCCCTTCTGACACACAACATTAACAACATTAAAGTAAAGCATATCACTCAAAACAGCAAAGATGGTGAGACCAGTCACTTAAATACATTCCTTACAACCAAAAAGGACCGTGCCATTTTAGAAATAAGAGACTAGATGATAAAGTTGAGTTGGGGTTATTAAAAAGAACAGAAACCGACTTCTACCTATAAAATCTAAAGAAATAAAGGGTCCGTAAGTCAGAAAGAAAACCAAACGTGGCCTCACATTGTCCTCGGTCGAAGAGCCAACACCCGTCTATTCAGACTCTACTTAGCAGTTAAATTGTAACCACACTGGATGATCATTTAGGTCAATCATACCAATCAGTTTTCTCTTCACTTAAAAAAAATATGGCAGTAAGACCTTAGGCTCCCCGAGGCGGTGCTAGCGATGGTGACTGCTTTTAATCCCAGCACTGGGCAGAAGCAGAGAATCTCTGGGAGGCCAGCCTGGTCTGTAGAGTCAACTGCAGGACAGCCAGGACTGTTGTACAGAGAAACCTTGTCTCACAAAACTAAAAAAAGAGTAAGACTTTAGATGATAATCTACAAACTATGTACCAAGTGTTTCCAAGGAAAAGGTGATTGGGTAAGTACCATGAAGGCACAGGGAGTGTCATGGAGCAGCTCTTGGTCTCAACGGTACTGGGGGCTTAGTTCTGAATACAAAGAACCAAAATGTAGCAGAACTTTAAAACAAAATGAGCTTTAAAAATTTCTCAGTGCGTTGAGCGGTGGTGGCGCACACCTTTCATCCCAGCACTCAGGAGGTTGAGGCAGGAGGATTGCGAGCCAGGCCAGTCCGGTTACAAAGTAAGACCCTGTTACTTTAAAAAAAAAAAATCCAATGGTATACCAGATACTGGTTTCAATGTCCCAAAATACTAAGAAACAAACAAACAAAATAACATTTTTCCCCAGTTCCCAACATCCAGTATATCAATTTGTAAATGAATTATGTATCCCCAAACTGTTTTTCCTTCACTTAACAATTTAAGTGAGCTCATAAAGTAGAAATGAATCAAACCTAAGGTAAACATATAGATGTCCTGGGCTGGAGGGACCGCTACATCTGGAGTGCTTCCTGCTCTTCCAGAGGACTCAGGTTTGGTTCCCCACAACCATGCTGGGCAACTCACCATCACCAGTAATTCTGGTTCCTTCACACAAGCAGCAATTTACTCATTAAGACACATAAATAAAATAATAAAAATATAAATAAGAAAATAAATAAAACACCTAAATGTATCAAACATTAATAAGCTCCTGCCAGAGTACAAAAGCATGAGTGGCCAATCTCTACCACCTCACATGGAAACAGAACATTCTGGAAAGACTAATAATACCTAGTCTTGGTACCTTGGCAATGAAAAAAAAAAAAACAAATAGCAGACCCACTAAGAGCCTCATCTCTGAAATGCATATACCAGAAAAAAAGGTAGTTGTGGCCACCATTTTTTTCCCACCAATTTTCTATCCTCTGAGTTCTGAAAGCAGGAGAGTTCTCCAGCATTCTGATGCCATGAAAGTGGAGTCCAACGGGTCTGGAGAACAGACTGAACATGTCACTAAAAACTTCAGAAGGTAGAATTCTACCATCCTGTATTTCTTCCTCGTTGCTTTCTAAACTAACCTGAAGACACGCTGTGCCTAGTCTGTCTCACCAGCAGCTCCCAAGGATTAATGTCTCTCTCATAAGGGTTACCCCCAAACTTTGAAGAAGAGGATGAAATCATTTCTGAGTCACCTGGTTTGCTGTCCAAAGGTCCTGTTGGTTACATCATATTGGTTAAACTGACCAAAGAATCAGAAGATAGGCAGATTAGTGGCCTTTTCTCTTGCAGCTGATAAAATCCAGTGGGAACAATGTTAAATCACAAATAAGACATATATTCCAGCCTGTCTTTGCGCAAAAACTACTCAAACTGCACAGGTCTTCGTACCCTTCGTCTGAAATGCGTTTTAAGGACGGCAAAGTAATAATTCGGCCAGCAGTACTCCAGCAGGAAAACCACAAAGAATAGGAAAGGAAAGTGGAAACAGAGCAAGTTGTAGCAGCATATGTCATGTATAGCTCCTGAGTGAGAATTTCTAATATGCATCCTACCGAGGAGAAAAGCAAGGTTCGTGGTCATACAACCAGTTAGTGGTGGTAGTAGGCTTTCAAAGTAGATTTTTTATTACTCCAAACCAACAATCTTCAGCTTACAATCCAAATTTAGATATTATTCTCTCTTTTCTCTGTCACTATTACACTAAGTGGCATATAAGTACTTTATACATTTTTTTCACAGTGACAGTAATATTAGAGAAAATAAGGTATTGTTCTCTTGGCCACCTGTTAGGATGTGATTTAGTTTCTTCAAAATTATTAGGGCCAAAAAAGTACAAAAAGCTTCACCTTGTGGCTAAGCAAATCCTTTCGCTCCAGTAATCACAGCAATGTCGACTGATCATCCACCTACAGGAACTAACCTCTTGGCCACATCTTAAGGAGCCTAGACTGGGCTATGCTTTGGCTTCCTACTGCAACCAAGCTCAGCCCCTCCTAAAAGAGCTGGCACACCCTAACCAGCTCCTCCTCAGAGGTTCCTTGAAGGGGTCTTGCCATTAGTACCAAGAGGCCAGGCTCCCAACTTAACTCTTCGCTGCCCCTCCTCCAGCTTTTGAGAAGCATCTCTACCTGCTGCTGCTTGGGGGAAGGGAGGGGTGACGTAAGTGGGATCACCGGTCTTCCAAATCCTCTTCTCTCTTGCTGAGACTTTGGATGTATGGGGTTAAAACAAACCACTTAAGGAGAATTGAGAGCACTGAGACAGGACAGACAGAACTAGACAAACCTATCCATTCTTATTCCCCTTCAATTCTTCCACAAGGTCCCCCGAAGTACCCCCTCCTCTTAGTCTCTCTTCACAATCCTTAGGGGAAATCATTTCCCCTTAAGTTTAATTTGATTCCACATAATGTTCTTACCCTTTCCGCTCACACGCCCCCCCATCCCACTTCACTGCTAAAATCCAAAGCCAAGTGGGTGTGTGCGGTTGGCGGCGGCGGCGGCGGCGGCGGGAGGGGGTGAGTTAGAACCTAGACTGAGGACAGGAGAGTGGGTTCTTTCCCGAGTCACTTACCTCCCTTGTCTCTAGCTGAGGACTCCTTAAGTGTCCGAAGCTCATGCAGTCCTCCCGGAGACTCTTACTCCTGAGCTGATCTCAAGACAGCTGTTACCCTCGCACCCGCCCATGTCTGACAGCGCGCCTGGCAACGCGCTTTAGCCTCCTCTTCCTTGGTCCCCCACCTCTCTGTTTTCTCCGGGCTGGGAAAGGATGGGGGAAACGAAAAAGGGAGGGAGTCGATTCAGACCCAGCTGGGCCACCCTCAGAACAAGGGAAACAAAGCTTTCAAGCATCCAAGCCCCGAATCGGGGCAGCAGAGCAGACTTCCTAAAAAGAATCCTCCCACTGCAGCCTTCCCTGTGCTAAAAATACAGCGGCTTCTCTGGGGCGAAGTGGCCAGCGCTAAAGCTCCTGCGTTCCCCTTTTACCTCAACCGATTCAGTTCCGGCCAAGCCCATTCTCCACCCACCTCAGAACTCCTCACGCCCTCCCCGAGAGAGCCGGGGCGGGGTCCCGACCAAGCACCCAAACCTCAGATCACGACTTGAACGCAAAGTTGAGACGGAGAAGGAGTCAGTGAAGACCCACAAGCAGACAGCGCCAGAGGACCCCCCCTCCCCGCGCAGCGGTTAGCGTTGCACACCCGGCGCCTTCCTAAAAAGAAAGGAGGAAAAGGCACCGGTGATTGGTCGAAACATATAGGAAAACACCGACCCAGGGCAGGGACTCCCACGCGAGTGGGAGGCACTCCCGCCGGACCGCGCCAGAGAGACTTCCCGGTGGTACCTGGCCGCCCCACTGGTACACCACGCCCGTGGGGTCAGAGCTTGGCGCGCTCGCCGGGCAACCTGAGTAGGTGGAGTGTTTAGCTCTTTCTCTGGCAGACTAGGCCCAGAAGAGAGGTGTGACTACCATGAGGACTCCACCTAGGGTGGAGTTCCTTAAAAGGGACAAGTGGCCGCTAGAGGGGAGTGGAGTAGGAGGGGGTGGAGATGGGTGGGGCAGAGAAGGCGGAGGGACAGGAGAGGGGGTGGGGCGAGACCTAGGAGCTAGGAGCTGGCCTCGCCCCTGGCGGCCGTGTCTGTTGGCCTCCTGCAGTAGCAGGTACAACTGAAATCAGTTTTAGTGAATACTCAGTCCCTGACAGGGGTTTTCGGACACCCTCCATGCTCACCTATCCACCAGGATTTAAGCTCTCTAGGGGAGGATGAGAAGGGTGTGGTGACTTGGAGTAAGGGATCTTCAGGAAGAAAAGGATGCGGAATAGGGAGTGTCAGAAAGATGGTAACTGTAAGAGGATTTTTACCCTCCCAGTTCTCCATGGCAACGTGTGACACTAGCAAGGACAGAGGGGTCACAGTGTCTTTTTAGGGCTGACGCTTAAGAGGAAAAGAGATTGGAGCTGAGTGCATTTTCTAGCAATAGATAAGAGAAGGTGAGAGTGAAGGAGAAGGTGGGGGAAATGAGTTGAAGATGAATTCCTAACACCCTGTGGCCCTGGCAGGGAGAGTTCAGAGAGGCTTTCTGAGTCTCCCAGCTACCAGCTATCTAAGAATAGAGTTCTCAACCCCCTGAGGCCGCCTCTCCGCCAAGCATTGGCTAATATCCCTGAAGAACTGAATCCATAGACTAGAAGCCACATTTCCAGCATTTCTTGTCCTTGCCTTAAAGTCCTTCTCTAGCTCATTTTAATGGAAACTCAGGAAGTCACAGATAACCACAGCCTCCTTCCAGTGTCTCTTCCCTAGCACAGTTCTTTCAAAGGGGAAGGAAAAGAGAGAGAAGGAACAAAGGAGAAGAAGGGAAGGAGCAGCGAAGCAAGAGGAATAATAATAGGTTCCATGTTTTCAGCACCTCATATGGGCAGTTCACTGGGCCAGGTACCATTATAGTCATCCATTTTCCTTTATTCCTGGTAACAATCCTGGAAAGTAGGTAGCACTATATTTTTATGCCTCATCAGGGAGTACTGGGGATTGAATTCGGGGCCTGGTGTATTCTAAGCAAGCACTCTACCACTCAGCTGTATCCCCAGCTCATTTTGGGTGTTAGTTGTTTGAGACAGGTAGTCTTACAATGGAGCTCAGGTTAATGTTATAGCCTAGGCTGACCTCAAACTCACCAGTCTCCGACCTCAGCTTCATTAGTTCTGAGTTTCCAGGCATGCTCTGTCACATGAGCATGAAAAAGAATAAGGAAACTGGGGGGTCACAGCTCAGTATGTGCCCAGCAGGTAGGTCCATTTGCTTAACTGCTCTTCTGTTTAGATGTGTTTTTAACACCTCATTTTCCTTTGCTCCCCAAACAATCTCTTCTCCCACTTACCAGTTCAGCAACCACCTGAACATTCAAGGCAACACCTCAGATTCCTCCCACTTGCTGTGACGATCCAGAGCCTGCCTTTATTTTAAGCAGCAGCGGTTTTGCTGTTCTACTAGATCTTACCCAGATTCGAAATTTCTGGTAATTCCAGGCTTTTTCCAATCTTGGGGCCATGAAACACCTTACCTTCTCTATCTGAAGTGACCCTTTAAACTCTGTCTTACGTTTTTAAAAGAACTGACTAAAAGTCATCTTCTCTCCTTATTTAATTCACTCAGGAAGAACTGACCATTTCCTGCTGCACCTCTAGGTTTGTTATAACGGCTTCTCCTTATTACTACACCATAATGTCCTGGAGGTTAGGCATCAGATGTTATTCTGTCTGTAATGTACATGCTGGGTATTATTATCAATAATAGTTATCAAGCAGTAGCTGTGCTGAACTCTGTGCTATTACTATCACCTTCCTATGTAGAAACCAAGGAACAAGGATTAAACAGCACATATATGTACTTGCTACGTGAAAGAATGTTCCTGTAGTAGGAGCTTTTAACCATCTCTCTATACACCGTATTTCCACTGCTGCCCACAGCCCTACCCTGCTTACAAGGTAAGACTTGCTAAGTGAAAGCCATGCAATACAATGTACAACTCTACATATTCTTTTTTAAAAGGGTTATTTTATCCCTTGAATTCGTATATTCTTAATGTATAAAATCTGGGGAGTATTGCTAAAAAAAATATTTTTCATTAGTCTAAGACTATCCTCCATAATGTCAGACGGTTTTAGATTCAAGGATGCAAAACTGTTTTACCAAAGACTAATATATTTTTGTGATGTGAAAACTAAAGACAGGTAGACTTCTGTAATACATTCCAATGTCAACAGCCACTAGAATCCTTTATTTGTGCTAGGTATACTCTTTGGTAATCATGAATTCTTTACTTAATCTATGCAGGCTCCTCAAAAAGTTGTGTCCATTTGAAGATAGTAAAACAATCTATCCTCTTGCTAAAAGTGTTTCTGGTTATCTGATTTATTTTAGACTCTTGTTTTTTGTCTGCCTCACCTGTTGTTTGTATAGAAAACATTGTATCAGATTGCCAAATTCTGTTTTTGGGAAAAGGTAAATTATTAAGCCTTAGGTAAATAAACTCAAGATTCTTTCCCATCCATTCCTCCATCCATTTAGTCAATGAAACATGCTGAGTACCTATGCCATAATAAGAAGCACGCTGAACATTAGAAGAAATAAAACCTCCCATTCTTTCCCAGGAACTCCAGTGTAGGAGCCCTTGACTTCAAAACACCCAGTGTTTTGGTTCACATTTTTCCTTTGAAGTTTTTAGATATGATATCTGTCTCGCTTGAAGGAACTATGTATCCCAGCACCACAGTTCATTGTAAAGATGGAGTTTTTCTTGGTATTCTTTGTCTCTGTTCTTTCGTTTTCCCATACTGTGGATTGAACTCAGTACACTGTGTATGTTTGGTAAGCACTCTCTCCCTGAGCCACACCCATCCTTGTCCTTTGCCACTTGTCATATCAATAATCAGCATGCCACTTATGTCAGATGGAAAGTTGTGACGGAGCAGGCACAAAGAAGATGCAGTGTTTCTTCCTTCTAGGAAGCACCACAGGTTCCCCTTTTCTTAGGTGGCTTAAGAAATAAAGCAAATAGCAACAAGTATCTTCAACTTGCTCCATTCCACCTGAAGCATAAGGGAGACTGAGTACTTGAAAAAGCCGCCTAAACGCTCCTCTACATCAGAGGACGAAGGTGAGAGTTAAATTATATACTAAACTTAATGAAAGATGGCAGAAAAGCCTGAGACATCCAGGTCTCACAAGATGCTGCTCTTTGCTGCCCTTCTTCCTTTTCACTCTCCTGACTCTCCTCTTCTTCCAGAATGCAAGCCAACAAACTACCAGGGTGGAGCCCGGAATGAGGGCTAGAGGGAGAAGAGGAGGAAAAGCCTCAGGAAGAGGTCTCCACCCTCCCTGCTCCCAGCAGAACAACAACAACAATTTAAAATACTTGTAGAGCTGGGGCTAAGGAGAAGGTGGGGCAGAAAAAAAAAGGGCAGAAGAGGATGATGAGGAAGGGTGGAGACCAGGGAGGGGACTTCGAGGGTCAACAGAATAGAGCAGCCTGGGGGGACAAGGAGGAAGTAGTACATAAGCAGAAAAATCGGCCCTCTGATGATATTGTTGTTCCTGGGACAGCAAGAATATTGCCAAAACCAGTGCATAGCTCAGACCTAGTGGGAACAAAATTGTCCTCCTCACCCACTTTTTTTTTTGCTCTGCAGTTCCCCAGGGGGTATAATCTCCCTGCAAGCTTAGCTGGACGCAGACCTTTTGCCTCCCTGCCAGTGGAGAAGCAGTGTTGAGTTCCTCCCATGGCTCAGAGGACATCACGAAGGTTACTGGCAGCAAAGGATTAAGGAGAGTAGGAAGAAGGATGTCTATTTAGATGAGAAGAGAAGACCTGGGAAAAAAACTTGGTCTGTAAGCTGTGAAAAGGTGAGCAAAAGCTTTCACGTCTCTAAACACCAGTTTCTACAGCGATTTCTTTTACGGAGATACTGTTAGCAGTGGCTTCACAGAACTGTCAAAAAGATTAAATAAGACACAGAGGAGGCTTTGCAGTGACTAGTGAATTTAAGCTTTGGGGCTTCTTTCCCAGAATGGAAGGAATCAAACTGTTTTCCTTAAAGTCTCCAGAGTTCTATCAGCAATCAGTCCCTGAAAAACCTACTTCAGCCCAATGAGATTACCGCCTGCAAAGCACAGTGCTCTCACAAAGGAAGCTCTCAAAGGTTAACTAGAGTTACTCTTAACAATGGAACCTCTGAACTCTGAGTCTCCTTTTTGGCCACAGAGGTTGAAGCAGTGACCCATATTCTTTGTATTTCCTCTCCTTATACAACGTAAATACACTAATTTACAAAAATAGCAACCAAAGTGCTTGCTCTAATACACCCAGAGGCACAACTAAATTCACCTTAGGAACTTCTAATGGGCCAGGAGCATATGGCCAGAATTTGAAATCCTCCTGGTATAATATCAACCCAGGCAAGTTCTAGCAGGACTACAACTCCTATAAATTTAATTGTGCCTTAGGCCACTAACTTTATGAATAAAAAGCTTGATTAATTGTGGTAGTGCTGGTGGTGATGGTAGTGGTGACGGTGGTGGTGGTGGTGGTGGTGGTGTATGTGTTAGGACAAGATGTTGGGCTCCCGTGGATTTGTACACCACTGAGACTACAGAAGTTACCACACCCATAAACTGGAGGAAGGAAGAGCCTTCAGAGTCAGCAACCAAGTCAAACCAGAAAAACTGGGAGTCTGCGCCTCACCTAAGGAAAGGGGTAATATTCTTGTCCCTAGAATGTATAGTCCTGAGTCAGTATAAGACTTGAATTCTTGCTTTCATATTATACAAATAAACATATGAGATTATCTAAGGAAATGTAAAAATAGGACAGAAATTTCTTTATCACTAGGCTGATCCAGGAGTGCTAGGTTCCCAGAGGCACAACAAGC